TCCTCCTTTAGTAATTGAGAGTATTTTGTAAGAGAGTTGAGTGTTGGGAAACACTTGTGTGATCCCTTTTCTTTGGAGTGATCTTGTGAGGTTATTCTGTCGGAGTTATTTGGGATTAATTAGAATATTTACTCTAATTTAGTACGCTTTTTTGTACTCTTATTGCTATAGTGAATTTGCTCCTCTCCGTTTGTAGACGTAGGTCACACTGACCGAACCACGTTAAATTGGTGTCCTCTTTATATGCTTTAATTGTCATTGTTATCAACTTGTATTGTCTTTGTTATTGTCATTATAATATTATTTGGTTAAATTCCGTACTACCCGAGTTCTCGATCCTAACATTCTCTTTAACTTTGAGAGTTCTATTTTTCTATTTTTTCTGTTAAATTTAAATTTCTACCCACTTTATTTTCTTTTAGTTTTTTCTGTTTTCCCCAAATTCTGATTAACATGTGAACATTACAATTGCTACAAAATACTTGGTTCTATTTTATCATTCATACAACTTAAAATAAAATGGTTAATACATGAACTGTGCTTACGGGCTCCTTTCTTACTTTTTATTTAAGTTTTTTGTAATAATTATGGTATTGTCCATTGTTCAAGGGTATTGGAAGCTCTAAGATTGTAGATTTGGGAGCAAGTAAGTGACATCTCCGTATGATGCAAGATGAATTAATTTCCAACATTTAGCGATTTAATTACAAATGACTTAAATGATAAAATATTGAACTAGAAAAGTATACATTACACTCTTATTTTCATCTCATTGTTTGAGTTATTTGATGCACTTCGAGTGTATGGTAATATGCCAGAAACAAATAAATAGAAGTAAGTTTTACTGCTTTCTTCTTTGATAGATGTTCTACAACATGCGTCTCTATCATGAATTTGAGAGGTACATTTTATGCTTCTATGGGATAGTATTGGTAAAATAATATTTATAAGGCATGTGTATTTCTGCTAGAATATTGCATCTGATTGTCTCTAATAAAAAAAATTGATGTTGTTCATTGAAATTTGCCATTCATATATTTTTTTTAAAATTTCTCAAAATTTATCAAACTATAAATATTAATTTAACGAAGTTATAAACTATTTAGAACAAGAATATTGGAAAACAAAGATAATGCATAAGTTCTTAGATTTTGGTTAGCCTTAGTTAGACGAGTAACATTGAGATTTCACTCTGCTGTCTTCTGAAAGTCATATAGCTGCAACTTTTTTTTTATCTATCAGCTACAACTACATGTTTTATTTTCTGGCACAACATAGTACTTTGATGCATCAAATTGCATAAGGTAAAAATGGAGGTTAAATGGTAAAGCTAGAAATATGACAAGAGTATAAACTGAACAAGCGAACAAGAATGGAAGATATGCACATGGCTATTTGAGAAGAATGAAATAATTTTTTGGATGACTATATAGCACATGAATACATGTTACATAAAGTTCAACACCAATATATTCTATATTAAATCAATTCAATGGACCAAGTAAGCGTTGATAGTATATTATTTGGTTCTCCTGTGGTAATCATATTCTTTTTTATGCACTAATCCTATTCCACAAGGGCTTCTTGGAACAATCAACGATGTATGGATGCTCCGATACAATTAGTGTGTAAACATGCACTTTGTTGTGTTGTAGTATTATTTATCGTCATTTGAGAACACACTGAATTTTTTTCTAATTTCAAGAATTTGATAATTTTTTTTTTTTTTTGCAGAACACTCTGTAGTTTTATCCCTTGAGTTCTACTTTCCCATAAAATTAAATGTTAGGCTCCCATGTCCTTCAAAAACTATATGAGAGCAAATGTGCTCTAATGCTATAACATTGTCCAATCGTGATGCCTACAATTACATAAAAGAGCTAGCTTTGAGGTTTAGCTTTTCTTACTTCTTTTAAGCTTCACTTCTATTTCTCCCTCAATTTGAAATATTTTTATAATATATATATAATATGTGCATGTGCATATTTTTGTGCCTTGGTAAGAAATATTGATATTAGAATGCCTCACTGGAAGCAATATACTTTATTGTGTTGACTCAGATTTACAATGTTGGACATAATCCAAAGACCTAAGAAAATAGAAGCAAGAGCTTGGAAAAGTTGATGCAAGATCAAAAGACATTCACAAGCTCACTCTTCGATGCTATACCTATTGCAGGAGATACTTTGCTTGCTAAGAACCTCGACTGATGTGAATGTGCTTTATTTTAATATGAGATGATTTACTGTATGACTAAAGGATTGAAAAGGCAATTCGGATTTTTATCAGGCAATGAATATGTAAACTATTTCATAATGACTTCTTAAATTTCTTTTGTAAGTTTGTGCTACTCTCTTCCTAGACTTCCACTTTTGCACTTGATTTTCTTATTCTACTTATTTGTTTAGGAAGGAACTTGCATTATTTGTGTGGCTTCAGGTTCGAGTAGAAGTTTATTTCATTTGGACAATTTTTTTCTTTGATTGAAATATAAAGAAGTTGTCTTCGCTAGATTCTTCTCATATTTTCTGGTAATGGAAATAAAAAGCAGCAAAATAGATGAAGCGCGTCAGGAACGGCGAATCTTTTTGTGATAAAAAAATTCATTTTGCAATTTCATTATTATATTGCACAACAATCTAATCTGCGCTATAAGGGAAATTACTGAGAAAATACTACTCCTTTGATTAATTTGTCACAACAATTTTCCAGTAAGGGACTGAATCAGAAACTGCACATGTTCATAAACTATGACCCACATTCCTTTTCAGATTCAATGCACTTATATTTACTTAATTAAATTGCACTTCACTACAAATAATACAAGAAGCTTAAAGCTGCTACTGCCAAAAGCTCCTCAAGGACTATGACAATCCATACAAGTTTCTCTCTTCTTTTTCAATGTTGGTTTTTGAAGTATTTTGTAAGATAGGAAAATTGATGCAGAAGCCCCATTTCATGTCTTATAAGATGTGCATTTTGTATTTGAAAGAGAATTTGGAAAATCTTTTGTTGCACGCTTTTTGTGGAATGAAAGAATCCGGAGATGTTTAAATCGGAGTTCTATCGCTTTATGTTATTTGATGTTCAAGTAGTTTATCATGTTTGTGCGTTAAGTTACATTTTGCACATGAATCACACAATACCACTTTTGTAGTTGTGTTCTTCTCGCTTATATATAGTAAAAATTCATCCATTTTGTGAAAGGACAATGTGAAAGGTGGGTTCCTTCTTTGTAAGATTACTTTGGAGTCCTTTTCTTTCCTTTATTTTTTAGAAGGCTACCTCATTACTTGAGATTTCTCTTTTTCCCCTTCTAAATTTGCTACTTCTTTACTACAAGTGAAGATTAGAATACTTTGATTTTGTACAAGTCAGCCCATTAATTTTTTGTACAAAACCCTTCTCACAAGAGTTAGTGAGATCTAAAAGATGAAAATGATAGTTTGTAGAAGTAAAATGTTCATAAGTACTTCTTCGAACAAAGTTTCATTCCTTTTGGTTCTATTTTTGGTGGACCTTGTTTGGCTTATGCTAGATTTGGTATCTTTTGATTTGGGTTGGCATTTAATTGGAAGTTTTTTTGGGTTGGATATATCCTTACGCAGAACACAAACTCATAACTCTGAACAAGTTGATCCTCTTCAATTTTTGCGAGTGCGTATCTTAATGGCTCTTTGCAAAAGTTATTTTACAAAAAATTCCTTACTACGTTGGGCCCGTGCATCGCACAAGCATCGGTATCTAGTATGAGTATATAAGTCCATTACTTTAAATAAGGATTGAGGACTACAGAAATTTGATCCTATAAGAATACATAATTGGGTAGGTTGATAAGTAAAAATTGAATATAGACTTTCTCTTCATAAAATTAAGCGGCCAATAGATCGATATTGAGGTAGGAAGGATAGAATGTACTATGTACAATCTAAAGTTAATGAGAAAGTTTAATATCTTATATAAAGTTAGAGATAAGTCTTTTCAGTACACTTAACTTCCTACTTTAGCCCTTGATATATTTTTGTTGGTTGCTCTTAGGGGTTATTTGGTTAATGAAAAAGACATTCCGGAATTAATAATAATGAAATTATAATATTAGAATTAATGATGACGAGATTATGCAGTGGATATTTTTATTGGTAGTTTGGTTCATGGAATAAATAGAATATACGGAGTTTAATTCAAATAGCTTAAGTTTTGATGAACTATCTATGTACAAAACACCATCAAGTAAATTAAAAGATAATCTGTTAGAATAGGATTTGTATTATACTACTACGCTTGTATTTATTTATACTACATTAGGGAGTTGTAAAATATGCTTATATTCTTCTACAGAGGACAACTTATAAATACAAAACTCTTACCATATTTAGGGTAAGCACAACGTTAATATACCCGTTATCCCAATTATTCCTCTCCCTTTCGTCTTGTTTTTGGGATTGACCTCGACTATTCTGTTTTAAGTCCATTTGGCTGCCTCTGTTATCCCAATTTGTGCCCTTATCGCATTCACAAACTAGATAATCCCTCATCTCCATGTATCTTCATTGGCTATAATGTCAATCACAAAGGATATCGATGTCTCCCTCTTGATATTCAACGTGTTTATACAAGTCGATTTGTTCGCTTTGTCGAACATTGCTTTCCCTATGCTACTCCACATCTTCTTTCTTCTTTCCTTAATTCTTCTCCCTCGGTTTGTCACACCCCATTGTCTCAGTCCTCCCGCGTTGTATCACATACTGTTGTACAATCTAGTGCTCCCTATTATATTTTTCCTGCTCTTCCATCTACATCTTAGCTTTTTCTTGGCCATTCTTCTATTTCTCCTTAGAGTTCTTCTTCGTTGTCTCCGTCTAGTTCCACACCATCTATACATACATCTGCTAATCATTCTACATCAATCCCCTATGCGCCTCCTACTTCACCATTGTCACTTCCTTCTCATCATATGGTTACCTGGTCAAAAGTTGGTGTTGTCAAACCCAATCAGAAGTATGTTTTACTTGCTCAGTCCTTATCTGAATTACTTCTTGAGCCATCTTGTTATAGTTCTGCGGTTAAGGTTTTCCCGTTGGCGTGATGCTATGGCTGATGAGTTTAATGCTCTTCTAGCTAATCATACCTGGTCTCTTGTTCCTCGTCCTCCAAATATCAATGTAGTTGGTTGTAAATGGGTATATCGGGTTAAGTTTGATGGATCTATTGATCGATGTAAGGCTCGTTTAGTAGATAAGGGATATACACAGTCTTATGGTGTGGACTATGGTAAGACATTCAGTCTGGTGATTCGTCCTGCTACTGTTAGACTGGTTCTTTCTATTGCCTTATCTCGTGGATGGCATATTGATCAGTTTTGACGTTAAAAATACATTTCTTAATGGTTTACTAATTGAGACTATTTATATGGAGCAACCACAGGCTTTTAAGTATTCTCACTATCCCCATCATGTTTGCAGGCTTCATAAGGCTCTCTATGGTCTTAAGCAAGCTCCTTGGCTTGGTTTGCTCGCTTTGGCCACTTTCTCATCTCTCATGGATTTTCTAATAGTCGAGCCGATAGCCCCTTATTTGTTTATAAATCTGGAGAACGATACTTGTATCTTCTCCTTTATGTTGATGATATTATTCTTACATGGGAGATTCTTCTTTGTTATCATGGTTTTCTGACTTACTACATGTTGTGTTTTCTATTAATGATCTGGGACATCTTCACTTTTTTCTTGGAGTTCGTGTTTCTCACAGTTCTTCAGGTCTTCATCTTTCTCAAGTATGTGATCACATTCAAAACACACCTCAAAAAAGATATGTAACGGTCGTATGCAATAATAGAAACCCAACTAAGAGTCGGAGTCAAATTCACAGGGAGCTAAGATGAGAGTTAGGAGTATATATTTCAATTTGCACAATTGGATAATCTCGATTGCACTTTCACAACAAAGATTTATTTTCTTTTTCTAATATTATTCTAATGATTGCAAAATAAAGAAAGGAGACTAGAGATACTTGTTTTTAAGGTTTTTTCAGAAGGACAAAAGGCCTAGGGCAATGACCATGACCTAGGTATTTGCCTAATGGGATAAAGATTTTAATGCTTGTTTTGCCGATTGGGGTGTATTATAGCTCTCAACTCTCAATTGCCCACTCACTACCTCTCGGTCAGAGAGTGATTTTGCCCAATTTGGCTTTCTCAAGACCAAATGGGTATCACCCAAAACAATTGATAAGAGCTCAAGTCGGTTTATTACTATCTCTAGGTTGAACCCTTTAATTGAGTTAAACAATCTCTCAATTGATTTAATTCCTTATTAGCCTAGTTATTCCTAGATTAGGTCCCTCTTTCTCAAGTAGAGACTAAGACAAATAGACATGAATTAATATTTGCAACCATTAATTCTACAATTAAAGTATGTACTAAGCTAAATAATCAATATCCACTCATAAACAAGCACTAAATTAGATACACATAAGGTTTATACACTAGGGTTGAGTCACAACTATAGTAAAAGTCTAGCTACTTATAATGAGGTTTGAAGAAAATAAGGAAGAAAGACTAATTAAACTCATAATGGAAGCTTAAAATAATTAAATCTATTGTAAATACACCAAAGCAAAGTAAAAATTTCTAATATAGTAAAAAAAAAAAACGGCTACACCAATTTAAGAGGTTCAAACTTGACCAAATTTTGTCAAACTCATCTATTTATACAAGGCTAAAAATCTTGGACGAAAATGCCACTCGGGAGGTTTTGCGGATGTACAATTTCATGTGCGGTCAGCAGATTTCTTCATCTGGCAGGAGCTGGAGTTCTGCGGCTGCACATTTCTGGACTGCGGCCGCAAGGCACTCTTCTATGGCCGCACAATTCTTGTGCGGTCCGCAATTTACATAGGCCCCTGGACTTGGTCTTTTTGCATACTCTCTGATCTTCGACTCTTAGCCCAGCTTTGCGGCCGCACAATTCATGTGCGGTCCGCACTTTGCATAAATGTCTACTAGATTTTTCCTCTTTGTTTGCGGCCGCAGATGAAATTCTACGGTCCCCATTTTCTTCTGCGGCCCGCACATTTGAGATTTCGCGGCCTTTATTGCCTTGTGCTTCGGATTACTCCTTTTTGAGTCGGATTTCATCTCGGGAGACCAACTTCCAGCATTCCTGCAATTTTGCATAATTTTATTAGTTTCGGGAACACAATTGAATGATTTTAGACTAAAACTAAAGCTAAAAGGTATTAATAAGCAATCAAAATCCCCACTTATCAGTATGCTCTGTATATTCTTGATCGAGCTGGTCTTATTGGTTGCAAGCCAATTGTTACTATCTTTTTCTACTTCTTTGGATTTTTCAGTTTTCACTCCAGTTGACAGCTCCCTTTATCGCAGTTTGGTTGGTGCTTTGCAATATCTAACATTAACGCATCCAGATATTTCTTATGTTGTTAATAGTGTCAGTCAACATATGCAGTCCCCTCAACCGCATCATTTTTCAGCAGTCAAACGCATTTTAAGGTATGTTGCTGGTACATTGCATCACATACTTTTGCTACCTCCTTTAAATGCTATCTTAATGCTGATTGGGCTAGTTGTCATGATACCCGATGCTCTACCTCTGGATAAGGGTGGCATGTGGGTCGAGCCCGGTCCTAAATGGGCTTCACGGGCTCGATCCTAAGTGGGCCGGTCCTAAGTGATCCCGGACTTCGCGGACTTTTTATTGGAACCGACTCGGAACCGGGACTACGAACTACCGGTCCCGGGCCTAAGGGGGCCAAGCGGGCCTAAGTGGACCCAACAGATACTTTCTATTTTTTAAATTTTTTTTATACAAGTTAGAGAAAAAAAATAGTAATAAAAATA